TAAACTCTTATCACACCTCTCACTTCATAAAATATTTCCCTGAGCCAAAAATTTAAATAGAACTCAAAATATAGAGAGAGATGTTAAAGATTTCCTGGTGAAAAACAAACGCTGGAGGACAGATCTTTTCTAAGTCTGATCCATGTTTGTCTTTGTTTGATCCCCAGTCAAGCTAGGCACTTTGTGGGGAAAATGTCTTTGGCCTGTTGAATTAGTCCGTTGATAGACTCTTTATTAAAATGGTATACGTGGGTTTGTTTTGTTTCTTAAAATAAAATTCCTGGGGCCACCCTGTGGCCAAGAGGTTAAAATTCCCTGTGCTCCACTTCGGCGGCTCTGTTCGTGGGTTTGGATCCTGGGCACAGACCTGCTCCACTCATCAGCCATGCTGTGGAGGCATCCCACGTACAAAATACAGGGAGATTGGCACAGATGTTGGCTCAGGGCTAATCTTCCTCAAGCAAAAAAAGAGGAAGATTGGCAATAGGTTAGCTCAGGGCGAATCTTCCTCACAAAAAAAATAAATAAATAAAATAGAATAAATAAATAAAATTCCTGCAGTGAAAATCCATTTAAGAATTGTACTTTTTTCTTTTGGTTATTACTGTTATTGCTAATTTTTTTTGTACTAATCCAATTAATTCTCTATTAGGAACCAAAACAATCTCTAAACAGAACAATAAGAGCTAACATTATTGAGCACTTACCACTGTCTACCAAGCATTTAAATCTGGTGACTTAATCCTCACACAAACCCTAAGAAGTAGGTTCTACTGTTCTCTCTTATTTTGCAGCTGGGGAAACTGAGGCTGTGAGTCGCAGAGCCAGGCTCCCTATGGGTGTGTTTACCTCAGGACTCTGCTTCTTACCACTGCACTGTCCTTCTCTTTCTGGCAAATCTCCTATGGTTGGTGAATACAAAAGTTGTCAAAAATATTGATAATAAAAAACCTCTTGAAAAAATTTTCAGATTCTTGATTGGTGATTTTTAAATCAGAGAATTACCTGCCTGTTTCATAGATAAGTGCATTAAAACCATCAAAGACAAAGGAATAAATGCTATTTATAATAATCCTAGAAATTAAAATGCTCTTCTCTGAAATCACCTTGTAGTGTTTCATTGCTTTGAATAAATATTGCTCTGAAGAAATACACCACTTTGTAATTAAGTTAAATTACCAATATGGCTGTTTCCCAAGTAAACTGAATTATTAGAAAATACACACACACAAAATAAATATGTTTAGTGTTTGGATGTTCATTTTCTTTAAAACTGGTGAAGTTAGTTTTTACTTCTCAGCAAAATATATATACATATTATATAAAATATATTTATATAAATGTGTATTTACATGAAAAATATATTTTAAATATATTTTGTATATTTATGTATTTTAAAATATGCGTTAGCTCTAGCAATACTAAAATACCAAATATAAAAGAATTACTTACAGTAACTAAATAAAATATTTTATTTTCCCCTGAACAGAAATTTTTGCTTTTCTCAACCCCTGGCTCTCCTTGGAGAAGTCTCCAGAAAGAGCAGGAGCCTGAGTAACTGGGCTGTAAGCTCTCCTCCCCTTCTTCAACCTGAGCTGGTCCACATTCTGATTTGGTGTTTTGGGATTACTCATGACCTTTTCCTTGAATGAGTTCTGCTGCACTTAAAAAAAAATAAAGTCTGAAACCCAATATTCTAGAACTTCTTATAATCTCCAGTAGATGGCAAACTTTACTGCAAGGAAACAATTTGGCAGACTATATAAATTTGTCTGAAAATATGAATTACACTCCACAAGCAGTAAAGTTTCTTACCCTGTGTCTGAGTCTCATATGAAAGCTGGAAACAAAATTTCCTACAGTCATTTCCTGGGAACTAAATCCCGGTTATAATTTTAAATAGTCCTGTAAGGTTTTGTGTATAACAAGACATTAAAGTCTTGTTCTAAAGGAATTATCTCTATGAAAATTATTTTATTCTTCACTGAATGTACACATATTGTATAAAGTACAATATAATAAGACATATGACAGGTTTTTTTTTATTTCAATTTGGGTGCACAAAACTGGAATAATCATAACCCTTACTTCATGAAACTTTCATTATTGGTCTGTGTATAGTCTTGCTTTTATTTCCTGAGTTGGCTGTTTAGGTGGTTATTTTTAATAAGGCAGTAAATTGCAGTTTCTTTATATGTTTGAAAAATATAATTTTTTGTCGGGCAGTTGTCCTTGCTCATTTAGTGCAGACATCTGAAGCATCAGTTAGTACTGTGTAGATCATGCGCTGCGTTTCAAAGGGGACCTGTTAGCATCTCACCTTTGGACACACCTGTAAACCTGGGCAGCGAATGGTGTAAACAGTGCCGATGACACCAGAGGAGCCCCACTAAAATAATGTGCTTGATAGATAATCTTGTCCAGAGCCAGAACTGAAAACATAATTCAAAGTGTATTACATGTAAGGAAAGTGATGCAGGGTAGTATATGTGACTAGATTATAAATCTACCTATTTTGTTTAAAAAAAAAATTATCAAATTTATTCAGTAATACTTTAAAAGTCCCTAAAGGTTGTAAGGGAAACAATAGTACACTTCTTACCATCCCCATTCCAGCTTCTCATTCCCAATGTGCACTCCCCAGAAGCAACTACTTAAAACTCTTCCAGCTATTTCTTATGGGTTTTATTGATATATTTCTAAATAATAGGCTGAGTTTTTCTTTTTAGTTTAAGATATTGGTGGAATCTGTTGGAATCCTACTATGATAAAAGTAGATTTGACTTTTCCTGCAGTTCTCAACAACATACACACAAACACACGCACGCACTCCTGCAGCTCAGCTACTCCCAACATTAGTTATATCATTATATTATTACTATTATTGTCATTTAAAGAATTCTCTCCAATTACATAGTATATGGTGATTTCATTTCCTTTCTTGTACGATGTTCAATTTTCCCCAGAATTAATACTAGTAAGAATTTTGTGGGGTTTTATAAATTTTTCTATTTAGTTTTCTATTACTTCTCTATATGGTAGGCAGTTTTCTTCCTGGAGGCATTCTCCCTGGAGCTCCTTTCTCTTTCTGCTTTCAGCTCTAGTTATTGTCTATGCTAGTAACGTATCTGCAATTCAGGAAGCAATTTTCAGCAACATTGTTTTGCTTCTTTCTTTTGTTGGATTCCTTGTATGCTACATTCCATGTCTGTCTCTTTCTTGGTTTGCATTTTCATTTCCCTAGGCCAAATTTCTAGAATCTTCCTGAAAAGTGGGCAGGAAAGCTGAAAATTGGAATCCCTGAAAATATCTTACTTCTCCCTTAAAATCTGATTGGTAGTTTAGCTGGGCATAGAATTCTAATTTGGAAATTATGTCCTTTCAGGACTTTTTTTTTCAATTATTTTGTTGAGACCATAATGGTTTATAACATTGTGTAATTTCAGGTGTACATTATTATGTATCAGTTTCTGTATAGACTGCATCGTGCTCACCACTCCTAGTCTAATTTTTATCCATCATTATCCATATCAGCCCCTTTACCCTGTTCACCCACCCCCAACTCCCTTTGCCTCCGGTAACTACTAATCTATTTTCTTTATCCATGTGTTTTGTTTATCTTCCACATATGGTTCTAAGAGGGAAATTCAAGCATTCAGGCCCCACCTCAAAAAAACAAGAAAAATCTAAGTTATCTTAAACTTCACCTAAGAGAACTAGGAAAACAAGAACAAACGAAGCCCAAGGTCAGCAGAATGAGGGAAATAATAAAAATTAGAGCAGAAATAAATGAGATAAACACTAAAAAAACAGTAGAAAAGATCCATGAAACTAAGAGCTGGTTCATTGAGGAGATAAATTAAATTGACAAACTCTTAACCAGACTCACTAAGAAAAAAAGAAGGAAGTCTCAAATAATTAAAATTAGAAATGAAAGAGGAGAAATTACAATGGATACCACAGAAATGCAAAGGATTATAAGAGAATACTATGAAAAACAATATGCCAACAAATTGGATAACCTAGAAGAAATGGATAAACTCTTAGATTCATACAACCTCCCAAAACTGAATCAAGAAGAAATGTAGAATCTGAATAGACCAATCACAAGTAAAGAGATTGAAACAGTAATCAAAAACCTCCCAAAAAACTGTTTTCCAAAGTAGTTAACACCATTTTGCATCCCTACTAGCAATGTATGAGATATGTAACTGATATAGCAATACCCATAGCAGTAAAAATACTCTTTTAAGGCATGATGCCTTATTAAAGATAAAAAAGGATATTTCAGGAATATATGAGGGTCAAACCAGCAAGACAATGTAACCATTCTAAAGTTCTATGAACATAACATAGCTTCAAATATAAAAGTGAAAATGGTCAGAACTAAAAGGAGAAATAGAAAATTCATAATCATTATAGGAAATTTTAATGCATTAATCTCAACAGAGAAAAATAGTGAAAATAAACAATATTATAGAAAGTCTGAATAATATAATTAAGAAACTTGATCTAATTGATTTTATTTAATTTATTTATTTATTGGGGAAGACTAGCCCTGAGCTAACCACCGCCAGTCCTTCTCTTTTTGCTGAGGAAGACTGGCCCTGAGCTAACATCCGTGCCCATCTTCCTCCACTTTATATGTGGGATGCCTGCCACAGCATGGCATGTCAAGCGGTGCCATGTCCGCACCCGGGATCTGAACCAGCGAACCCTGGGCCACTGAGAAGCAGAACGTGCGAACGTAACTGCTGCGCCACCGGGCCAGCCCCCATTTTTGTTTTTATTAGCAACTATATGAAAAGATTTGATAAATCATCATTAATGACACAACTCATCATTAGCTATCATTTGACAAAATTCATCATTAGAATGCAGACAACTATGTATTCATTAATAAGTTTGTTTGAGATGGCTTGAGGAACAGAAAGAAAGAATTCTTTAACCTTATCCTCATTTATTTGTAAGCTTCATTGACATTTTTTATTTCCTTATAGATTCCTTTTGCAATAAAAATGACACCAATTGCCTCTCAAATTCTTGCCAAAGCAATTCTACATGCAATGGTTTTTCGAAAGACAGTGATTGCCGTTGTTCAGACACAGCCTCTAATTTGGACAAAGGCTGTGACAACATGAAAGATCCTTGCTTCTCCAGTCCCTGTCAAGGAAATGCCACTTGTGTGAACACTCCAGGAGAAAGGAGCTTTCTGTGCAAATGTCCTCCTGGGTATAACGGGACAACCTGTGAAACTGTCACTAGTTCCTGTGGCATGAACTCCTGCCAACACGGAGGTATCTGCCGTCAGGACCCTGTTCACCCTGTCTGCCTCTGCCCTGCTGGATATGCTGGAAGATTCTGTGAGATGGACCATGATGAGTGTGCTTCCAGCCCTTGCCACAATGGCGCTGTGTGCCAGGATGGACTCAATGGCTACTCCTGCTTCTGTGTCCCAGGATTTCAAGGCAGGCACTGCGACTTGGAAGTGGATGAGTGTGTTTCAGATCCCTGCAAGAATGCGGGGACGTGCCTCAATGAGATAGGAAGATACACTTGTGTTTGTCCCCAAGATTATTCCGGTAAGTGTGATTACATTTGAATCCCAGATGATATAATTAGATTTCTCTTTCTTTAGAATGACAGGAGCAGAGGTGACTTTTTATGTCCTACCCAATTGCTTATGAAAAATGGCCTTGATGGAAATTAATCACCAGATGGAAAGCTTCCTCAACTCCTAAAAATCCACTGAGCTTAAACTGAGCTTAAACAATTTAAAAATCTTACATTATTTAAAACTTAGATTCACTCTAGACTTAGTGGGCTCTATGGGACCTAGCTTTCCAGGTCAAGGCAATTCAGTTTCCTTATCAGAACAGATTCCTTTCGTCCTAGCTAATGTGTGCCCTCTAACTCCCAAAGCCTGACATTGCCACCTGCTGGGAAGGCAGGCCATGGGTTGGATACCTGTTGATGGTTTCTAGTGCTGAAGTGTGATCAACAGATCAATGTTAGCAAGGCTGATGGAGCATGCCAAATGAGATGAATCATGATTTGATTAATAAAGAAGTCACTCTCTGTTTAATCTCTTGGGTAGCAAATAATAGTCCTCCCTATCTATTCACAAAGTTTCCATTGATGTTATTTTAGTAATAGTGTGACAAGTTGACAGCTCATTCCTTATGCCTCATGCTCTGGCTCCATCCTCCCCATCCCCCTGAGTCAGTGACCCATTTAGGTCAGTTCTTTCTGGTGTCCATCTTTCTTGTGTTGCTTCACTCTTTGGAATTCCATCTACTGTAAGGAGGCAACTCATGCAGGCTGTCTTCTCACATTCGTTCTTCTAACGTCTGCTTAGCACTTTCCTGTGCTAATTCATACCTCTGTGACATCAAGTTTTAATGTCACTTTTCCCCTTAGCTCCTGCCACTTTTGTAGCCTTCTGTGGTATTTGGCTTTCAATTTGTCTTCTCTCAACACTTTCATACCTACTTCTTGGTCTTGCCATTCTTTTTCCAAGTATGTTAAACTATAATTATTTGGAAAATATTCCTCTTCAAAATTTGTGCCAGAACCCTCAAGAATCGTTACACTAATATCCCACATTCTAGAAATATCTCTTTTATGAAATAGACACATCCTTAGTTGCTCTGACATGATATTTGCTCCCTTCCCCTCAACCCTCACGTACAACCAATCTTTAAAGTCTGCTGTTTTACATCCAAGATGTCTTCCACATTGAGCTCATCCATCTATTACTGTTGTTGCCTGGGCTCATGACCTCATCCCCTCTCGTGTGTAGTGCTAGTCAACCTCCAGACTCTATCCCTAGCCTCTACCTTCTCCAAGTTGTTCTGAACAATGCCTGTGAAATAAACCTCCTAAAATAGATCTGCTACGCCATTCCCTTCTGAAGAGCCTTGAGAGCTCCCCGCTACACAGAGAATAATTTTAAGTTCTCATTAAAAACCCTGCAGTGTGTCCCTTACATGATAGTCATATCTCCACACACCATTCCACCAAAGCATTTTCTTTCCCTAAATTGTCTTCATTTTTTATCCAAGTGGTTTCCTTCTTTCTGGAATGTCCTTCCTCAATTCACAATGTCTAGACTCTTGAAGTTCTTTACTTTCAATACTCAGCTCAAATAGCACCCAACTCAAAAAGCACTTCTGATTTACTATCAGCTGAAATAATACTTTTAAACTGCTGTGGTAATTGAATTGTTCTTTACTTCCATAGTGGTTTGCGCTTCTATCGCAGAACTTCAATATCTGTTCAATGTCTGTTCTGTTCTTCAATATTTGTGCTTTTGTCTCCTTCCACTAAAGTGTTAGTTTTTAAAGGACAGAATCATGTCTCATATTTATTTTTTAATTCATCAATACTTTTTGAGTGTTTATTATATGTCAGTCAGTGTATTAAGAAGAAAAGATACTGTTCCTCAAAGTATCTAACACATTGAATATGGCTGCTTAGTAAACTGTTACTGAATTGTTCTAATCTTCTATATTCTCCCATATATTTCTGGGCACCCTTCTTGGTAATGAAACTGACGTAAATGGACATTAAACAAGAGTTCACCTTCTCTGTTTCTTTGTGTATATTTTATGATGGCAAATGCTTGTGTCAAAGTTATTTTATTGAATGCCTTTTAATTACCAATTCTAACCTAAAATTTATGAGGAATAGTAATGGAGCTTATAAAAGCTCCTTGTTTTTATGCCATATTATCATGTCCATTCTTTTTAATTAAGTGGACTCATGGCAATTGAATTTCAACTTTTGAAATTTTTAAATAAAAATAAGAAATACATTTGTGGCACTGGTTTGGGATTACTTTTGTTTATAATGGTCACATTTAAAAATCACTATAGTTTATTAAGATAGTAACTTCTATTTCCTGCTGCTAAAACAATATTGTTAGTGGTGAGTAAAAGAAATAGACACGAGATCAAATAAATGTTTCAGCCATTTTAACTAGTGTTCTGAAATAGTCATAATTACAAAAGCACAGCTTGAAAAATTATGTTTTACAATGTATGTGTTTTTATTTTTACATTTTAATTTAACTGGATTGTAATGGATCCTTTCAGTGGTCTAAATTTAGGCGTAAAAGATGTCAAGGGTGTATTCCTAATGTGGAATGTAGTGAAATTCCATCGTAAGGCACTTCACCCTACAATGAATTAATTTCCACTGTAGACATTCTCACATCCTCGCAGGGCCCGTGAGAGCCAATGGCTTTTTCTCACTATGACACTTGAGTCCACAATGAGGACACTTTCTTTGCCCAAATCCTGATATTATAGCGTTCCCCACTTGACTGTGTCCTTTACTTGTTTCCTAAGAAATCAGCTAAGTTTTATTATTTCAGCCTTTCAGGTGACATATAGACAACTTGCTTGCAAACAGAATTTAGGTGAGTCACAAGGCAGTAAGGACCAGGTCTATTGTTAGCTGCTTAGGCTTGTTCGGATGCTAAGTTGCCGGGTTAGGTTTGATCACCAATCGCCTCCTGCATCCTGGGAGCTCATCCATGGTTCTCAGTCCTGATTACACATAGGCAATTATTACCCAGGGAGATGTGAAACAGAGATGCTCAGAGTCCACCTTCAGAAAGTCCAATTTAATTGATTGTAATGTATAGCTGGCGTTGGGAGCCAGAAACTAAGTTTATGTGAACTTAATTTGGAAACTTTTCTTGCACTATCCAACCACTTAGACACACAAGGAGGCCTGTTGACTTCAGTCCTACCTCATGGCTACCACTGTTTGTGGCAGCTCAGGCCAATTTAATGAGAAACCCAAAGAAAGTCTACACAACCAAGGGAAATGCTGGAGTTGAGAAGGAGAGAAAAAGACCGTTAGCAATCAGCATGGATGCGCTCATGCTCTAGCTCAGCCTCGACCTCCTGATGAATCCTGGAAACTGTGTTACAATTTTCTGGCTGCGCTGTGCTACATCCAAATTTAGAGTGATCATAAAGAACCCGGCTTACAGGAAAAGGCCTGTGTTCCTCTGAGCAACAAAGTAAGAAAACGTAATAAATTTTAAAAGACAGAGAGGTAGGAGAGGAAAAAGAGCAGTAGCGCACAGAGAGAGGGTTCACGCTGCGGGAATCCTCGCTCTGTGCTCCTGCCGCGCTTCCTGAGCTTGATTCATGAACTGCGGAAATTGGCTCGGAGAGAGGCACCGAGGATGCCGGTGAGAGTCCGCCATGCGTACGCAAAAACTCCAGTTTCAGCTGAAAGTAAACAGCTGCAAGCTTTCTAAAAAAAAAAAAAATGAAAAGAATATTAGCTCTGAGCATGTGACTGCTTTTAGTTCAAGTTTATGCAATGAATCATTCTGTAATTGAGGTCTTCCTTAAAATTAGCTGGATTGACTAAGGAACGTTTTTCGCATTAAGATGCCTGCCATATGAGAAAAATAGGGCTACGAGAGGACAGGGAAAGACCTACTGGATGTATGACAAAGCGAAACAGTGTAGGAAAATAGTTTATTTCCTCTATTATAAAATAAATCTTTGGTATAAAAATAATCTCTTGGGAAATAAACAAAAAACCCACTACATTAAATTTACTTATTGATTGTGAAATGCATCTCTATTTCAGAAAGAAAAATATATGGAAAAATTTATTTTACATTCAAGAAAATGTGTTAGTATATGGAGACTACTTAGAAAACTAGTTAGTAGGTGGAGACTAGTTAGAAAGCCATTGCAATACCAAGTGTAAGACATTAGGACCTGGCCCGGAAGAGTAACAACCAGCATGAAAGGGAAGGGTAGGTACAAGGGTCATTACGAAGAAAACTCACTTGCCATTTATCAAAGCCAGAATATTTCCAGACTTATTTTACCCAAGGAAAACTTGAAACCTCTACTATGAAAAATAAGAATGCATTAAAACTTCAATTGCCGTTTCCAACTTAATGAACTTCTAATCTGTATGGTGGTTGAGTGCTTCTCAAACTTCAATATGCGTCAGACTCACTCGGACAGTTTATTAAAATAAAGTTTCTGATTCAATAGATTTGAGGTGAGGTCCAAGAATGTGCGTTTATAACAAGTTCCCATGTGATGCAGAGACCACCCTCTGAGAAGCCTGTGATGTGGACAATTATGTGTATTTTCATGTGACATCCTTGACTCTTATTTTGCAAAGTTCATGAGACAAGGGAAAAAAATCAACAGAAAGTATATATATATATATATATATACACACATATATGCACACACACACATACAGCTATAGTATTTATTGATAATAATAGTTCTGGATAGATGATATGGATAAAAAATATTTGTTGAATTCATTCAGTCATTAATTTAGTCAACACACACACATATGTACTGAATTCCTCCAATGTGTCAGATATTGTTCCAGGTTCTGTAAATATAAGAATAAAGAAAAGTGATTTTAAAAAAGTTCCTTACATTCTAGAGGGAAGAGATAGACATGTATTAAATAACTAATAGATAAAACATATAGTAGGCTGGGTGGTGATAAACACAGTGGAGGAGAGTAAAACAGAAAAAGGGGAATTTGGGGTTGAACTTTAGGTAGATTGACTAGG